AAAATTAAAGGTAGAAGGTGGTGGGGCACTGCCCCAGTTTTGATAAATGCAACAACCCCCCCCCCCCAGTTTTTAATTCAGTGCCCACCGACACGGGCCAAAAACTGACAGAGTTTACCCATAAATATTTGAATAGATGACGTAGAAGTTCGGCTTTGCAAAAGGCATGCCAGATGTAAAATCTAGGCCTTTGTTGCTAAGGGAAATATATCTTAATTGAACTGAGTACCACTGGAACCCACCAGGATTTTTCTCATGCCAACATACAGATGTGATGCATTCACAGAGAAAGGTTTGTTCCTTTTTCTGTGGAGAAAAGAGAATGTCTGATGACTTCTCACATAGGCATTCTCGCATTCTCTCACTGTAAAAAAAGAAGAAAAAAAAAAAAGAAAAAAAATCTCAACTGGATGTGAATATAGCATCTCATGGTTTGTTTTTCTCAACAAAATTGCAGTTTTCCTCAAGCTACTGAAATGATGCATCGCAAGCCTGTACATACACCGTCTTATTTAAGAGAATGACTTGGATGTGCTATGCAATGGCGGAGATGGCAGTGGTGCATTTTGAAGTTGGGCTGGACCCTGATGCCTGACGACTAGCCAGCATGATTGCCTGACTTCTAGATGACATTGCAGCCACCAAAGGCAAAGATTTGTAGAATCTCCCATGAGCCTGAGTAATAAAACTGCAAGGGGAGCCTAGTGAGTGAGCTAATTATGCCTCAAGGACATCCTATGTCATCCAAGGGACAAGCCATCATGCTGGCTGGTCACAGTACAGCAGAATCCCAGATGGTCAACTTTCCTTCGCACAGAATGCACAGTAACGAAGAGTGGGCTTGCCCCTTGACATGTTGTTGGGTATTTATTCCCCTCAGCCTTAGTAATAAAACTGCAAGAGCAGCCTGAGGAGTTAGTTCAGCCTCAAGGGCCTATAATGTCACTGCAAGGGTCAAGCCATCATGCTAGCTGGTCATTGTGCAGCAGAATTCCCAATGGTCTTGCCCCCTGGCATGAAGATTAAGAGGAAGTCGTTTGGGGTAAAACTGACATTTTTTTCCACAAATTTCCATCCCCTTAGGACAATAATTCTGAGATAGATGCAATAATCCAAGAGTAAGCAGGCACTTTAAGGAGCCAATGAACATGTAATGCTGTTTACAACAAAAAAGGAAATGTTAGACTGAAGCTGTAATTATGGAGGCACACTGGCATTTATCCAGCCCTGCAATAAGGAATACAACCGAATGAAGAATTTCTTAAAATAGACAAATGTTAAGTAAGTAATTCCCGTAAAATGGACTCACCACTGTCCTTTGCTGGTTTGGAAGATAGACTTTGACGGTGCCACCAGTTTTGCTCTCCGACACCGGAGCTTCGCTCTGTGACCCCAACCTGTAGCCATCACGGTGCATTTGCCCCCGCACTTCGGGGCTGGGTAGCTCCAGGACTGCTGCCGACAACATCAATGCGCTACCCTTGCCAAGCTCCTGGGAGAGCGAGCGCAGGGCACCATTTGTCAGGTTCACCGGGGGTGTATGAGTCCGCTTCATTGGAACGCTGGAAATAAGCAAGTGAGAATTAGAGATGGAAAGGCAAGAAGGTTTTTGTGCTCTCCTTGGAAAAAACACTTTCCGTCTGCTTTCTCCTTCTCTTTGCTCCCCTACTGCCTTTTGCTTGCAATCAAGCTGCATGTTCCAGAGACACAGAGACAGAGCAAGTGTTACTGTGCCATTTGGTGGAACAATACAGCAGCAGATGGGGAAGAGAGAGACCCAGAGAACTAGAAAAGTGGGAGGGAAGAAAGCAGGGAACATACAGCAATAAGATCAAAGAAGAGAAAAAACTTAAAGGGAACCTGTCATGAAAAAAAAAAAGAAAGATTTAAAAACAAAGTGCCTACATTTAAATCTAATCAGTTCATCCTCTGAGTAACCTGTGGACTTGCAGAATTCAGACACACTCAGCTTCACTGTGACTTGGAGTTCGGACCTTCTCCTAGCAGCCCTTGAAGAAACAGAGAGCCACTGAGCCAGTAGAATCCACAGTGCAATGTGGGCACTTAAGAAGTGCTTATCATTGGCAACTGCAGCCGCCAGTGGGCATGTCAGAGCTTCAGTCTCTCACGCATTAGACATTCTGCTGATGTTACCGCTGGGCCTCAGTTGACACGGATCAGCTGTCCTCAAATGTTAACAATGGGCAAGAGTGGTCAGTAACCAAAAAGGACAGTGACCCTCCTTTTATCGGAGCCCCCAATAATATTCATACCAGCCCTGAAAAATGGCAATTGAAGAAGCGTTATTATGACTGTCTGCTGAGGGACACTACAGACGGTTACTGTAACAGATGCCTAAATACAGCACCTTCCTCTACCTGCAAAGAGCAAAGAGCAGGAAAGAGCTGGTGACCAATGGAGTTACTCTATCAGAGTACCAGGGAACTGATATGCAGACAGCTGAAACTGCCTGCCCCTCAAAGTAAATTACATTTTCCTTATTCCTATGGCGAGCCTGTCTATAGGGCAAATTAATCAAATTTTCTCTGCATAAACAAAATATCTGAAGGGCTTGAGGAGCAGTTTGCAGCAGCAGATCTTGCAGGAGGGCCAGACATGTAAGTACAAGATTTGTTTTTGTTTTTGTGGGGAGGCGGGAATAATGAAACAAAAAGGGATGGTTATTTTTAGGGATGCACAGATACCGCTTTTTTAAGACCGAGTACGAGTACCGATACTTTTGATCAAGTACTCGCAGATACCAATTATCGATACTTTTTCTTAAAGGGACAGGTCACATTTATGCTAAAGCAATACAAACTAATGCTTTAAGGTCACTTTCTTAATATTATGATTCATGAGATGACGAGGGAGCATGACGCCAGATTCCCGGCCAATCAGAATGATGGGCGCTGCGTCTTCTCGGTATCGGCACCGATACTAGCATCGGTATCGGTGCATCCCTAGTTATTTTATTACATTAAGTAGTCAAATACCGGTTTTTCTGTATTGAGTACCGGTGCCTTGTGCCCAATTATCAGGAAGTTGGGCGGCAGATCATGACCCGTCACCCGATTGCCTGTGAAGCCGGTGTTTTGGTGAAAGAACACCGGCTTCAGAGGCTGCCTGACCAATCAGGAAGCTTTCTGATTGGTTAGGAAACCAGGCTGCCTAGCAACAAGCGAAACCAGCTTCCTAGCCAATCAGGAAGCCAGGGCGGCACGTCATGATCCACCTCCCAGCTCTCTGATCGACTAGGAACCGGCTTCACTTGTTCCTAGGCAGCCCAGCTTTCTGACCAATCAGGAAGCCAGGAGGTGGTTCATTACATGCCGCCCGGCTTCCTGAATGGTTAGGAAGCTGGCTTCCTAGCCAATCAGGAAGCCGGGTAATGACCCACCGCCTGGCTTCCTGATTGGAAAGGAAGCCAGCTCCATGCTCCCTCAGCAGTGCCAGTCAGAGGGAGATCTCCCTCTGACCGGAAGTTCCGGTATCGGAGCATTTGGGCCAGTACGAGTACTCGTCCAAATACTTATCGGCACAGATACTAGTATCGATGCATCCCTAATGCATACTTATAATGACTAAAATACACCTGTACTCTACCATTTCATAATCTCTAAGCAAGGATGAAAGGCAGGCACTCTCACATACCTACATTCACTTTCCCACATCTTCCAGGAGCGCTAAACCTAGTATACTCCAATATACAAAGCTTAACTTTTGCAAGAAAAACAGAGAGCTGGCCTGCCTTCTGCAACTTCCCCCTGAGCTGTCAACATGGCAGGCAGTCTCTGTGACCAACAGGAAACTCCTGGAGTGGCTATCCTTTCAGAAGTCAAGATTTGCGTATTCAAGTGACAACAGTTTATAAAGTTGATGGTGAGTACAGGTCAACTTGGAGTAAATGTTCAGACTGCTGGACGTCTGACTGTTCTCTATAAATAATTCAAACAAGCAAACGCGTCAAGGCTTGCAGTATAACCTATAAAAAGGTAGGCAGAACATGCAAGTGATCAAAGTATTGGCATAAAGGGATTTTCAGGAGGCCAAACGCGATTATAGAAAATAGACTTCAATGCAAAAGCATCCTGTAAACCACAGAAAAAAGGGATGTTCTTACCCTGTCACCCTTGCTATTCGGACATCTAACCTTAGGCCCCACGCTCTGGACTATCTAGAGAAACACAAAAGTCGCATTGAGTTAGGCAGGACACATAAATAGACTTTTTGCACAGACAAATTATAATATCTATTAATAACAGGTGAATGTTGTACCTGTCGCCTACGTAAAGTACAGGAAGAACTTTTGCAGAATGATCCAAAAAAAGGAAAACAGCTTGTCAGCTGGCTGAGAAAAAAAGTGATGTGACTGAAACACTCTACCGCAAGTTAAAGGAGAACTATGGAGTTAGGGCTTTTCCCCATAGTTCTCCTAAGGGTAACGGGAGGACACAAACTAGCGTCCTCCCGTCACCTAAAGCTCAGTGTACCGTGAGCTACAGCTCGCGGAATACTGAGACGCCACAGCCGGAGCAGATCCCGACATTACTGTCTGGATCCACCCAGCTGCTTGAGTGACAGCTGGCTCTGCCTATCTAGAAGCAGAGCCAGCTGTACCCGCCCCCTCCCCGTCCGTTCCGCCAGTCAGCGCTGGAGGATCGGACACGGGAGCGGGGGAATCCCTGCAGGGAGCCGTGAGTGACAGTCATGGCTCTCTGCAGGGAAAGGATCAAGAAGTGAGCGAGCGACGGTATGTGTTCGCTCACTTCCCGATCTATTGAGCCGACGTGTGACAGTATTATTGTCACAGGTCGGCTAGAACTATGAGGTGAGTGATTTTCACTCGCCTCATAGTTCTCCTTTAAAACAAGGTAAAGCTAAATTACAAATGTTTATACTTAAAGTGACACTAAACTCAGGAGTTAAACCTTAAAAATTCATTCAAGTAACTTAACTATTAAGGTATTCATGTTTTAAAGGAGAACTATGAGGTGAGTGCTTTTCACTCACCTCATAGTTCTAGCCGACCTGTGACAATGAGACTGTCACAGGTCAGCTCAGTAGATTGGGAGGTGAGCGAACACTAACCGGCGTTCGCTCACCTCTCGATCCTGTCACGGCTCTCTGCCATGACAGGGGGAGGGGCTGGATTCCCTCCTCCCCGCTCCGATCCTCCAGCGCTGACTGGTGGAACAGACGGGGGAGGGTACAGCTGGCTCTGCCTCTAGATAGGCAGATCCAGCTGTCACTCACGCAGGTGGGCGGATCCCGACATAATTGTCGGGATCCACTTCAGCTGCGGCTTAGGGTGACGGGAGGACGCTAGTTTGTGTCCTCCCGTTACCCTGAGAACTATGGGGAAAAGCCCTAACCCCATAGTTCTCCTTTAATACCACCAAATATATTACTATGCGTATAATAAAATACAAAATATCAATATTGTTGCTCCTCTGAAAAACAAAACAGTAACAAAGTGTCTATAAGTGTCCACCACTTTAGTGTTGTGCCCCAGTCACTCCAAAAAGTACTAACTCCAACTTATCAGACAGCGGATACAGCTGACAGATCTACGCTGGTAAAGAACACTGCCAGACACACCAGCTACACAGACGTGTCCCCACTTGTTTTCCATTGAAAACCGGGGCCCCTCCCTTCAGAACTGCTCACCTTCATCGAGTGGCCATAAAGAGAATGGTCAAAGATGGCTTCCACAGCCCTAAGGGGTTCAAGGATGGCCACAGATGCGGCTAAACGTTCCCAAACAAGATCATAAGACAGCGCGTAGTGTGACACGTTTTACTTAAAAGACTTTATTAAAAAAAAACAAAAAACATACAAAACACAAAAATGTAGTTGTATACATCAACTGCTGCCACAAGTGAGCTGAAACATGCAGTTGAGACGAGGGGGCCCGTCAGCCGCCGAAAACTGTGGAGGGAGCCGAGAATAAAAAAAAAAGCCTGCAGGCACTGCAGGGGGCTGCCCTGAGCCTCGCCCGTGAGGACCCATCAGGCAGCCCATCAGTACACGGGCGCGCTGAAATGGGGACACATCACCACACACGGGTGGTTTTCTGCAGCCTCCCCCACCAGGAAACAGCCAGGAGGTGAAAGTAAGTTAATAAATAAAACTATTTTTTTTATTTATTTTTTGTAGCCCAATTTATGGCATTGCTGTATAAAGTACAGCTGGTATTTGTAGTTCTATATAGCAGGTCCCATTCTGCATTTCAGCCATGCAGAATGGCACCCTCTGTAGAGCACTACAAATCTCAGCAGTACTTTATACAGCAATGCCATTTTTCCAACTTTTTTTTTGCGTTCTGGGGTGGGAGGGGGTGTGGTGGTTCCATTCATGTCAATGGCACTGCAAACATGCCTCCCACCCACACTGGAACGTGTGGTACCACAATGCACTGGGGGGGGGTTGTAAAAACTGGTGCAGCTGTGCATGGGAACCAATCAGCTTCTCTCCTCAGTTCAACATTTGAAAAAGAGTGAGAGGTGCCGATTGGTTGCCATGCACGGCTGCTCCAGTTTGATTTCCCCTCACTGTGTTTTAGTGCAGTGCAATCACACAAAAAATAGTGCATGCCTGATTTTTTGCGATCACACCACACTGGTACGCAGTGCATTGAGGTACCACATGTTCCAGTGTGGGTGGGAGGCATGTCTGCAGCGCCATTGACATGAATGGAGCCACCACGCCCCCTCCCACCCGTTGTGCCTGCCTGATCTGTGGCACAAGAATGTTTATACAGGTGGGACTTGTGGGAGGGGCTTGTATATGGGCGGAGCAAAAGGGGGCCCCATAACCATGTATTGCCCGGGGGCCCCATGTGTTGTCAGTCCGCCCCTGATGCAGTCAGACTCTCCTAACAACCGCTGAATAACCCGTCTCTTTTCCGGGAATGACGACTGTCTCCACCCCGGGGGTTTGCACCTCACAGTGTTATATATTTACTGGGGGGGAATTTATCAAAACTGGAGCAGATTTGCACTGCAACCAATCAGCTTCTATCTCTCATTTTCAAATCTTATCCTGAGCACACTGAAGAAAGATGCTGATTGGTTGCCATGGGCAACTGCTCCAGATTCTCCCTGCTCCAGTTTTGATAAATCCCCCCATTGTATACACTGTATGTGTATATACACTGCCGTGTATAATTCTTTGTATTTTTATATGGGACACTAGTATTAGCATGTTTGTTTGTTCTCTCAGGGCGACACTTGTATGTTTTATTTAAGGTGATGTGCATACGCGCCTATAGTACCATATGCAAATAAATGGCTCCATACACATAGCTGCGTATGGAACCGTATATTTGCTTAGCGCAAAAACAGAATAGAACCGAGATGCGTCCGGGCAGTGTATTTCTGCGTGTTTGCGCACATATACGCACGTACAGTTCATTGACATTTCTATTACGAATGATGCATTGGGTATTGCAAATAGTGCACGCATATATGCTCGTATATACGCGCATATATGCATATATACAATTTTGCTCTTGCCTTGTGTGTGAATGAGGCCTTAAGATGCCTTTGTTGTCATCTTAAAGATAAGGGTGAAGTTCCTCTTGAAGTCTTAAGGTGCCCATACACCTGCCGATTATCGTACGATAATCGGCAGGTGTATGGGCACCGTACGACCGCATTTACTGTACGGTCGCACGACTTTCCTCTTACAAGCAGGCTAGAAAGCCTGCTGAAAAGCGTACGAATCCCCCTATGTGATAGCACACATATAGTGACAGGTCCTCTTTTGGAGACAGCAGGGGTCTTTAAAACCCCTAATGTCACCTAGGGACCGCCGGAGAAGCTGATGAAGTAGATATCTGCTTCACCAACTTCTCTCCAGCTTCTTTAGCCGGACAATGACAGCAGAATGTGGAAGTGATGTAATAAGCATCACTTCCTGCATTCAGAGTACGGGGAGGAGATCAGAGGGAGAGCACGTGCTGATCTCCCTCCGATCACAGAGCCGCCAAGCTGGGGCACAGTGGAGCCTGGGATCGAAAATACAAGCACTTGGGTGGCTCTACAGCCGCCCGAACACTTGTATGTAAACAGCCATTGCTGGCTGTTTCAAAAAATGGTAGTTCCCCGCTTGAGCGTTTGAAAAGACCACCCACATCCAGGAAGCCCGACGGGATGGGAAGCAGCTGGACGGGTAGCGGTTAAGCTATTTCAGATGCTGTGTAAGGCCTCTTTAAAACCAGGCATTATTGTAGCATTTTTAATGCCTCTCTGCAGCCTAATAATGCCCATGTGGAATAAAGCAACAGCAGCTGCCCAGTTCTGTTCACACATGGACGTTAGCGTTGTGTTGTGTGTCAAAAAAATAGAGTGCATGTCGCATTCTGGAGGCATTGCCTCCATTGATGTATATTGAAACACCCCTTGAATGCCGGTCAATGCTCCTATAGCATTTTTTGGGCATTTAGGAAGAGTTGCGCAGTTGTTTTCGGAGCTCCATCCATATGTGCATTGCTTGTACAGCTCCCTTGCGCTCCCCGTAGAGGTGCCGGGAGCCAGAATGTGATGTCACTCCAGTCACGTGAGGGAGTTGTAAGCAATGCACGTATGGATGGAGCTCCCTCAGGGCCATACCCCCATCCCATCTCACGCTGACATTTGGCAACGGGCAGCATATTATTAGAGGAGAACTATGAGGCAAGTGATTTCCACTCATCCTCAGAGTTAGAGATCACCTGTGACAAAGAAGCTGTCACACATCGGTTCTATAAATCGGGAAGTGAGCGAACACATACCGTCGCTTGCTCACTTTCCAATCATCTCCCTGCAGAGTGGTTACTGTCAGTCACTGCTCCGCACAGGGATTCCCCCCTCCGATCCTCCAGCACTGACCGGCAGGAACGGACGGGAGAGGGGCGGGCACAGCTGGCTCTGCTTCTGGATAGGCAGAGCCAGCTGTCACTCACGCAGCTGGGTGGATCCAGACAGTATTGTCGGGATCTGTCCCGGCTGCGGCAGTCTCAGTATATAGCGGAAGATAGCCTGCAATATACTGAGCTTTGGGTCACAGGAGGAGGTTAGTATATGTCCTCCCATGACCCTAAATAGAACTATGGGGAAAAACACTTATCCCATAGTTCTCTTTTAATGTCTGCTCGGCACGAGAACTGACAGTGCTTCGCTATGGGGGGAGGCTGAGGAGCCTCTTGCCTAGTGCAGTGGAAGGCATGTGGCGACCCACTGAACATGGGGTCACGACCCACCAGTTGAGAACCGTGGCCCTAAATCACTTACAATGGATGCTGCTCCTTGTTGTTTGTTTTAGTTTCCTGCAGCATCAGCTGGTCCCCTGAGCACTGGTCCTGATATCCTGTTATAGGGTGGCTCCTTTCCCTTGTGTGGTCCTATGGGAGCCACCCTTGTATTAGAAAGCTGTGTGTGTCTCCACAAACAACACACAGACACAGCAAGGCAAGACACTGCCCTGTTCCCCCCTCCTCCTCCCTTCTCTGAAGCTGGCCATACACCTACAGATTGTCTGTGGTCAGATGGAAAAAGTGCAACAGATTCCTCCATCTACGCACATCCATGTGTGGATGGAGGAATCTCCCACTGGACCAAGCTTCAGTATCTTTCTAGTTGGCCCCGCTGGCTCCCAAAATACCTGAACAATCTGATTGGATGCAGGCATTGCTCAGGTATTTTGAGAGCCAGCGGAGCCGACAAGCAAGGTACTGAAGCTTGGCCCTGCGGGAGATTCCTCCATCCACACAGTTTAGCATAGATGGAGGAATCTGTTGCACTTTTTCCATCTGGCAATAGATAATCTGCAGATAATCTATAGGTGTATGGCCAGCTTAAGCCAGTAGTTGGGCAATTGCTGTAGACTGACATGTCCCTTGTGATCCTTTACTGGGCAGGAAGTTCAGGGAAGCAGAGCTGAGAGAGTTGGAGCTATTCAGCAACATAATGGGGGGGAGGTGATTTATCAAAACTGGAGCAGACAAAATTTAGAGCAGCTGTTAAGGGCAACCAATCAGCTTCTCTCTACTCAGCTAAGATTTCAAAATGAAAGAGAGACGTTGATTGGTTGCCATGTACGGCTGCTCCAGTTTTGATAAATTCCCCTCTATGACTGTAAATGTTTTGCTGGCCAATCTACATTTGTTTGATCTGTTGTCATTGAAAAAAAGTTTGAGAGTTTCATACTACTTTAGTTTGTAAGAGGAAGTGCTTCAATATATTTGAATGTATTATTATACAAATGTGTGAGTCAGGGTGATAAATATAGCGCTCTACAACACCCACAATGTACAGTGCAGTGTACACACATCTCCATATACATGAGATCATAATTACATGTTACGAGAGCTGAACCCAACGCATAAAAAAATCATATTGAAATATATTCCTCAGTAGCCACAAAGGCTATAAATCCACATTGTATTCACCAAATGCCTCTACAAACCCACATCTTCCCTTTATAGTTGTTGTAGTGACATCGTCACTGTGCTGTACACAGCCTGTGCAGAGTACAGCTGTGGGAGGGACTCAGCAAGCTCCTCCCACTACAGTCTGCCAGTGTTCTATCAAAGTTTGTAACTACGTTGGAATTGGTGACCGATCACGTGGTCACACATTTTAACGTAATCCCGCCCAGTTTTACAGTGTTGGAATGTCTGACCGCCAATAGGTCAAGCATCCCAACGCTTTGTCAGCTGTTCCAGGGCAGATCAGCTCACTGTGCATGTGCAGGAGAATCGATCTGCATTACTACATCTGCCTTGAACAGCAGATTGGTCCCTAAAAGTCATTTCTATCCGACTTTCTGAGTGTGGTGGAATGTGAGATCGCACTCACAAAGTCGAATAGAAGTGACATTTGAGGACCGATCAGCTGCTCCAGGCGGGTAAGGTAATGCAGATCGGTTCTCCTGCACATAAGCAGTGAGCCGATCTGCCCTAGGACAGCTGACAAAGCGTTGGAATGCTTGACCTAATGGGCGGTCACACTAAAACTGGGCGGGATTACGTTAAAATGTGTGACCACGTCACCAGTCACACATTCCAACGTAGTCACAAACATTGAAAGAACACCTGCAGAAAACTACAGGAGGGGGCGGAGACAAGACCAGTCACCCTGCACAAGAAGAGAGAGCAGCAGTGACTGGTCCTCATTACAGGAAGCTCCAGGAACAATTTCACATTGGATTACTGCACAGGCGTGGTAATACACAAAACACACCAAGATTCAAAAATGTTCTTAACCCTAGCAGAGAGGCAACCCCCTGCACTGCAAGGGTTAAGTGCTCATTTTTGTCCAGGTGCTTAAAGAAAAAGTAAAACTTATCCAAACCTCTGAACTGGCTGGCTGCTATTCTGGTCCCTGAAGCCCGTCTCTTCCTCCGCTGCAGCGATGGTATGTCCATCCACGTCCTCATATACTAGGGGGAATTTGCCAAAACTGGAGCAAACAGAATTTGGCACAGTTGTCCACGGCAACCAATCAGCATCTCTCTTCAGTTTGCTCAGTTGAGGTTTGAAAATGAGAGAAGCTGATTGGTTGCAGTGCAAATCTGCTCCAGATTTTGTCTGCTCCACTTTTGATAATTTCCCTCCATTGTGTATAGAAAACGTGATGACTCAGGGATCTTCAGACCACTGCAGTGGAGGGATCAGTGTGAGAGCAAGCCGCCTGTGAGAATCGGGTGATGCTGGGCACACACCTTACAACCATCGCAAGACCTTTGTCTTGCGATGGTTGTAAGGTACTTAAAAAAAAAACGTACGATCTGCCCATCTTGGACAGGCAGATCGTACTTGCGATGATCGCAAGCCGCGCTCCCTGAGGGGCGGGCTTCTGATGACCGCAATGCCGAACGGTCAGTGTGCGCTTGCGCACACCGGCCCGTCCGGCTTTTATCTTACGAACATGCTACACACCCGCCGAACCTTGTACGATTCTCGGCGGGTTTTCAAACATGTTCGTAAGTTAAAAGTTGTGCGACCTTACAGTAGTAGAGGTCGCACGGCTTCCACACAGCTTACGATAATCGTACGATCGCGGGATTTCCCGCGATTATCGTAAGGTGTGTGGGGACCCTGAGTAGAACTTTTTTTTATTTTTGACCCTAGACAAAAATGAGCACTTAACCCTTGCGCGGACCAGGGAGTGTGTTGGGTGGCGGTTTGGCGAGGGGGGTGATGGTTTAGGGACGATTAAAGAGCATTTATTGGGCACTTTTCTTTCTATTATTATTAAATTGTATTATATAATCAAATATTGCAGAACCAGTGGGAGCCCTGAGCTTGTTTTCCTGCTCTCAGGTGCCCAGGACAGGCCCTTGGTTGGCCAGGACGGGCTCTCAGGTGGCCAATGCGGGCTCTCACCAGGGGTCCAGAGAGTCTCACTGGAGGCTGCAGGCTCCGCTCTCTAATCAGGTGGCCACTTGCCCCCCACTAGGGCCCCGGAAGGAGATGCGGCCCAATTCATAACAGGCCACGGACCGGTATCGGTCTGCGGCCTGGGGACCCCTGCAGTTCAAGATCAGAGACTAGAATTTTGCCACAGCTGGAGTGCTGAGGTTGCCTATCGCTGTAATGGACCCTCCAATATAACCTATTGGATCAAATTTTGGTTTTGTTTCCTGCTGAATCGGTTGAAGTTCGATCTGTGGCTGGCCGAGCCGGCACCACCCGCCTTTACAAAAGTCGATTTTTGGAGCCAGGTGGAAATTTATCAGCTTAACGGTGACTGTTGCCAATCACTGTTCGGGTATTCCAGCAGCTGCGGGCGCCACCGCTGTCAGAGTACAATGGCCGGCTGGGGATATTCCGCCATTCACGCTCTCTAGAAATCACGTGACTGTTTCTGTGTGACCCCATGTGTGCGCGTGATCACCTTAAGTACAAGCCACACCTCTATTTATAATCTCTCCGCCTCTCCTTACACTCACATGACCTCAATATCGAGGCTGTTATCGGCTTCTGACTGGCTGCCATGCTGATCCTTCAGCTTTTATTTGTTTAGAAAGAGCTGGAAGAAGGTATTTGAAGCTCTGATGTTACTCTAGTGTAATTGGGGGCTTATGCTGACATGTGAACGCTCACAAAGTGCGCATGTTCACAACGCACGAAAATAGCCCTGACGCTTGCTGTGCCATTCATTGTTATGAAGTCCAGCAATGGCAGCTCCCACAGCGCTCTTATGACTGGGGCACTTTAAGAAAACCCAACAAATCTCTGAATGAGCTGAGGGCGAGTGTAATGAGAAAGGCGGAGAGGGATGACCCAGAGGAGGGTGTGTTCCATCACCTAGACTGGCTCATACTGGAAGTCTGATATACATTCCCCCCGTATATATCAGCATCTCATTACTCCATTCTTCAAGAATCCCCCAACAGGCCCTGAAGTCAGGACTTCCTGTATCTCCAAACTTTTCTTTTTGGATAGGCAGGAGAGAGGTGACCAGATTTCTATCTCGATAACCCTCACTTCCTGTATGATAAGTAGAAGGAACACTTGTCACCAGATCAGGAAACACAGAGACCAAGAAAAACAAACATTGAGGAGAATTTATCAAAACTGGAGTAGACCGATTTTGGAGCAGTTGTCCATGGCAGCCAATCAGCTTCTCTCTTTCATTTTCAAATCTTAACTGAACAAACTGAAGAGGGAAGCTGGTTGGTTGCCATACACAGCAGCTCCAGATTCTCTCTGCTCCAGACTTGATACATTCCCCCCCATTGTGTTTTTGTCTGTGTGCCGATTGCAAAGATTTCCTGTCACTTCCTGTCCCGACAGGAAGTGAGGGGAAATTTGCCGATGGTGAACACAGACAAATACCCAGCAGAGACTCAAACATTTCCTGGCACTGCGAAAAACAAAACAGCTCACAGCTCGCTGTCAATCAGCAGAATGTACACAGTGCAGCAGTGACAGCACACACAAACACCCCCCTTCCGTACACCGTGCATGTCCCCCTTTACAGCCCCGAGTAGCAGTGACGCCACTCGGGGCCCTAGCTCTCACTCACCTGGTACTAGTAGCCGCCGCCATGTCACAAGCAAAACGTCCCCGCCCCCTCCTGCGCCCAGCTCTCCGGGACAGGCGGCTCCTCTGCCACGCCATTGGCTGCCAGAGGCTTCAGTCACCGCCCGAGGAGCCCCGCCCCTCTCTCCGTGGAGAAGGGAGAGGGCGGCAGTGACGTAAGGCGAGGGAGGGGCGAGACGCGCAATGACGTCACCTGGGAGAACATGAAGGAGCTGGAATGTCCCCGCCCAGCCCTATATGAGGGAGGGGCCCGTTCCAAGTATGTGCTCGGCCCTGTGTTGTGTGTACTGAAATGTGCACGCTCATTGTGCTGGGACGCTGCACACAGGCCATCCTGGGCTGTATATGTGTGTCATGTGGGAGGCGCAGGCTGGGGTTAGGCTGCTGCTGGTCTGAACTTTAGGTTACCCTGAAAGCGGAGCATAGTTTTGATTTCAATGTATATTTTGGTTGAACATATAAAAGAGGTCATGCACAGGCAAAGAATATTGTGTGTGTTCATATATTCAGCACCTTGTCCCCAGCTTCAATCTGAAGTGAGTACATGGAGCTGGCCATATCTGCCCATGCCATATGCAGCCTTTGCTTTCTGGTTATCTCCAGGTCATACCACCGCACATGGTCTGTCACAGTGGAAACAATATAGTCCCAGCAGTCTCTTGTGTTGTGAAACCCCCACAAGGCAATTGCAGCTCATGTGATTTATGCTGGCTGGTTTGTAGGCCACATGAGGGGAGCTGCCCTTTATGTCTCTGTGTTTCGTATAATAATCGGGGGAATTTATAAAAACGAGTAGTTGCCCATAGTAACGAATCAGCTTCTCTCTTCAGTTTGAGTTATGCTATGAAAATGAAAGCTAGAAGCTGATTGGTAGTTATGGGCAGCTGCCCCTCTATGTGACTGGGAGATCTGACATGCAACTAATAGACTCCTGCAAGGTGGGAATATTAACAATGGGCGGTCTTCTCTGAGGTAAACCGCAAGAAAACAATGAAAAAAAATGCCCCTGGGAGTGTTTGCCATATTGCAGATATGCAGAGCTTACACACTATCCTCTCCATCTCTGTGTTGTCCATGCTGCCCCCACCCCTGCCGCTTCTATGGTCCTTAAAAGGAGAACTATGGGGTCAGTGTTTTTCCCCATAGTTCTCCTTAGGGTAACGGGAGGACACAAACTAGCGTCCTCCTGTTACCCTAAGCTCAGTATACCGCAAGCTACAGCTTGCGGTATACTGAGACGCCGCAGCCGGAGCGGATCCCGACGTAGATGACGGGATCCGCCCAGCTGCGTGAGTGACAGCTGGCTCTGCCTATCTAGAGGCAGAGCTGTACCCGCCCCCGTCCGTTCCGCCAGTCAGCGCTGGCAGAGGGGAATTCAGCCCCTCCCCCTGTCACGGCAGAGAGCCGTGACAGGATCGAGAGGTGAGGGAACCCGGTATGTGTTCGCTCACCTCCCGATCTACTGAGCCGACCTGTGACAGTCTCATTATCACAGGTCGGCTTAGAACTATGAGGTGAGTGGAAATCACTCATCTCATAGTTCTCCTTTAATTTGGAGTCTTCAGCCATCTTGTTTGGCCAAAATGCCGTAATTCCACACTTGTTCATGGGGGTTACTTTGTTCCAGCAGAGAATCGTGCAGAGACTGTACACTTTGCTGTGCAGGCTTGGCTCAGTGTACATGTAAAGCGGAACTCCAGGTGTATTTGCATACTTACATTGGTCCAGCTGTCCTACTGTATATACAGTATGTGTATATACCTTCGCATCACCTTTCAACATCTCGTGGAGTCAATGCCAAGAAGAATCGACGCAGTATTGAAGGCAAAAGGTGGCCCAACGTAGTACTGATGGGGTGGTCATAATAATCTGGCCACACACACACGCGCTCTCACACACCATACCGGAGCAGCCATTGGGGATTCTGTAAATCCCTGTAGTAACCGGAGCCACATGTGCTGGCTGTCAGAATACAATGTCCAGCGGTGCAGATTCCTCCACCCTGCAGGCTGAAAGAGGAAAATCTTCATATGTATGGCCAGAACACAGTGCTGACTGGCAGGTAGAAACTTCTAGGACATGCACAGTGTCTTGTCATAACAAAGCCTGCCTGTCAGCACTTCTTAAAGCGGACCTTTACACCCTGTCACTATAAATCACCTATGCCTGTATCTCTGCCTGCTAATGTGAAATCATCTTACATTCACTATTTTTCTACTTCCTGTTCCTCTTGGCCATTAGTGATGTAATCTATGCCCAAGCATTGCATCCTGGGAAGGTTACATCAGCAGAGCATTGCTGGGTAATCTGGGATCTCAGGGAAAGGCATTTTCCTCCCCTGAGATGATGTGCATGGTCACATGTCCTAGTCACATGTGCCAGAGCTCCAGGAAGTAAAGGGGGATCTAGTAACCTGCCCTTAGTAAACATGGCCACAGTGAGAAGAATGGGAAGAAAAGAAAAATAAGGTATGCAAAGAATGAAAAGCCGACAATGATCTAGAAGTATGTATTTATAGATTGTCATCATTAAACATTTCTTTTTTTTTCAGTAACAAACATTAATAACATTAAACATTTCTAAAGCTGTGTTTGTTGTCATTTCAAAGATAAGGGTAAGTTCCTCTTTAACATCAAGACTTTACTTCCACTTTAGGTGCATATAAAATCACCCTACACCCAATAAAGCAGGAAGTGCCAAACCCCTGCAAAAGAGATACAGGAAATGCACAATGAATCCTCAATACATTAAAGCAGAACTCCAGCTAAAAATAAGATAAAACGAAACAGCCAATCTAAAGATAAAATAAAACCAGTTTTTGCTGCAATATTTCATTTCAATATTTCTCTGCAGTGCTTTTTTCCTGCCACTAGATGTCCTCAGTCTTATAGACAGCTTCATTCAAACCATTTCCTGGACCCACCCCAACCTATGATTGGACAGTGAAAGTAGAAGCAGCGCAGTGATGAGCACATCTCACTGTCAATCTATTTTCTCCTCCTATCCGCATGCTCTTTGTCAGCATATGAACTGATTAGCTCATTGTGATGCTTCCACCCTGCTGTCCAGGGACAGCAAGAGGCTGATGCCAGGTCAAATTCAGGTGCTTATGTAAAAAAATACATTTCTGATGTATTAATGTTTCATTATACATTAAAAGGAGAACTATGAGGTGAGTGCTTTTCACTGACCTCATTGTTCTAGCCGACCTGTGACAATGAGACTGTCACAGGTCGGCTCAGTAGATCGGGAGGTGAGCGAACACATACCGGCGTTCGCTCACCTCTCGATCCTGTCACTGCTCTCTGCCGTGACAGGGGAGGGGCTGGATTCCCCCCTCCCTGCTCCGCCAGCGCTGACTGGCAGAACGGACAGGGGAGGGGGCGGGTACAGCTGGCTCTGCCTCTAGATAGGCAGAGCCAGCTGTCACTCACGCAGCTGGGCGGATCTCGACATCGATGTCGACATCGCTAGTTTATGTCCTCCCGTTACCCTTAGGAGAACTACTGTAGGGGGAAAAGCCCTGACCCCATAGTTCTCCTTTAACCTCCCTGGCGGTATTCCTGAGTCTGGCTCGGGGGTTAATTTTCCATACCAGGAGCGGTAACCCCGAGCCAGACTTGGGACTGCAGAGAAAAGTGACACTCACCTTGTCCCTGCGAGCCCGTGGCGTCCTCTGCTGTACGCGGCCCGAAAACGAAACTAAAAGTCAGATGCCGGCATCTAACTTTTAGTTTCGTTTTCGGGCGTCACAGCCGGGCGGGAAATTCAAAAGTGAATGTTTCAATGTACACAGAATACACACACAATACAATGTAATCTGCTATGATTACTTTGTTTGGACAGATTTAGGTGAGTTATTCCTAAGATTTACTAAGAATTGCAGGCCTACAATATAAACAACAAATTTCCATGCAAAAAATTCCTGACATAATCATACCGCCAGGGAGGTTAAGGGGCTGGAAGACCAAAGATATGAGACAAGGTTGCTAAATTTAAACTTGTTCACGCTAGAAGTAAGGAGATTAGGAGGGGACATGATTTTGATGTACAAAATGTTGGGTGGTGATGGCAACATCAGCAAACCTTTTACTGTAAAACTCCATAACAAAGACTAGAGGCCACCACCGACCATTGGTGGAGAGAAGATTTAACCACAAAGGGTGTAGGGGCATCTTTTCAGTTAGAGCGGTTACATTTTGGAACTCTGCCAGAAGCATAGCATAATTGTCAGGATCTGCTTCAGCTACGGCGTCTCAGTACACAGCGAGCTGTAGCTCGCGGTATACTGAGCTTAGGGTGACGGGAGGACACTAGTTTGTGTCCTCCCGTTACCCTAAGGAGAACTATGGGGAAAAGCCCTGACCCATAGTTCTCCTTTAATAAAGGACAATAATTTATTATATTTATTATCTATCTAGAGTTCAGTTTTAAAGCCTAACTCCAGCCAAAATGTTCTGTCTGTAAGTTTGTATTGCTGTAGGTGTCCCTGCTGCAGAGATTCACCCTTTCTGCTTGTCCTGGTGACCACTGAAAGTGAAGGCAACTGTAAAGCTTTGACTTGTCACTGGAAAAGGAATAGAGGGCAAATCTTCCAATGGGGACACTTTACCAGTGACAACTGTCTAAGAGAAGATTTCCTTTATTTCGGAGAGATATTGACCAAATACTTTATTTTCCACCATAATTTGCAAATTTGTTCCAAATCAGCCAATGTGATTTGTCTGGATTTGTTTTCTCATTTTGTCTCTCATAGTTGAGGTCTACCTATGATGCCAATTACAGGCCTCTCTCATCTTTTTAGGTGGGAGAACTTGCACAATTGGTGGCTGACTAAATACTTTTTTGCCCCACTGTATATGGTTCTTATACCAAACAAAGGCAGGAACTTAATAAATGAATGATTTATTATGAAGAAAAAGTAATCACAGTGCATATATTTACAATTAGATGTTATACAAGACAGTTACACAAAACAAACAGATCAAAAATAAAAAAGGGAGAAATCTGATAGAAATCCTACTTACAGAAGCACTCTATTCTATCCCGGGGGGCTGCTGGCAAGGAAAATAGCAACTTAGTACAAAAC